ATACACCAGAGAATACATACAGGGGAGAAACCCTATCAGTGTAGCGCATGTGGGAAAACTTTTTACCAGAAGACAGACCTCACCAAACACCAAAGAACACACATAGGGCTGAAACCCTATGAATGCTATGAATGTGGGAAATCCTTTTGGATCAATTCACACCTTATCCTGCATCAGAGAACTCATACAGGGGAGAAACCATTTGAATGTCCTGACTGTGGGAGATCTTTCTGTCGGAAGTCACATCTTATACAACATCAGAGAACCCACGTAGGGGATAAGCCCTACAAATGTGATGTATGTGGGAAAACTTTCTACCACAAGTCAGTACTCACCAGGCATCAGATAATTCATACAGGGTTGAAACCTTATGAATGTTGCGAATGTGGGAAAACGTGTTTGAAGTCTGCCCCCACAGTGCATCAGAGAATTCACACAGGGGAGAAACCCTTTGTGTGTCCTGAATGCGGGAAATTCTTCAGCCATAAATCCACCCTCTCTCAACATTACAGGATACATACAGGGGAGAAACCGTTCGAGTGTCATGAATGTGGAAAAATCTTCTATAGTAAATCGTCCCTACATAAACATACTAGGATACACACAGGGGAGAAACCCTTCGGATGTAATGAATGTGGGAAAACGTTCTGCCAGAAGTCTCAGCTCACTCAGCACCAGAGAATCCACATAGGAGAGAAACCCTATGAGTGTAATGAATGTGGAAAGGCTTTCTGTCACAAATCAGCTCTAATTGTGCACCAGAGAACTCATACAGAAGAAAAGCCCTTTAAATGTAATGAATGTGGGAAATCTTTCTGTGTTAAGTCAGGACTTACTTTACATCAGAGAAAACACACAGGGGAGAAACCTTATGAATGTAATGAATGTGGAAGGTCTTTCTGTGATAAGTCAGCTCTTGTTGTGCACCAGAGAACTCATAGAGAAGAAAAGCCCTATAAATGTAATGAATGTGGGAAATTTTTTTGTGTGAAGTCAGGACTTATTTTACATCAGAGAAAACACACAGGAGAGAAACCTTACGCATGTAATAACTGTGGGAAATCCTTCAGTCACAAATCATCCCTCACAGTGCATTATAGGGTTCACACAGGGGAGAAATCTTGTCAGTGTAATGAATGTGGAAAAATTTTTTACCGTAAATCAAACCTTGTTAACCATCAGAGGTCACACACAGGCGAGAAGCCCTATGAATGTAACACATGTGGAAAACCCTTCTCTCAGAAGTCAAACCTCATTGTACATCAGAGAACACACACGCAAGAGAAACCTTAGGATTGCAGTGGGTCTTAGGAATGTTGAGCTGTGATTAAGCAGTCACTACACTTCAGAGAGCTCATGTAGAGGAAGCAATGTCGATATCCTGAATGTTGAATAACTTTCGTCCACAAACTTGCCTTATTTTACCCTGAGGTAGACTGCAACACATAAAAGACAGTCTTGTTAGGTAACATTCCTTTGAATGTCCCCTAGCAAATGTGGGTATAAAACCTTGCAGATTTTTTGATTTTGTCATTTGTTTTTAGCAAAAATACAAACTAGGTCATGTCAGAATTTCTATTAAGGAGAAATCTTTCAGTTTGAGACATACAGCTTGAAGATTCTCTTTAGAGGTAATATAACATTGGAAATTGTGTTGTAGTTTTGATGCCACATTTGTCTTAGGAAACCTAAGAATTTGTAATTTATAGATGAATATTGTGTGTTGTACAAACAAGCAAAAAAAAAGTAGTAAAATGAAATAAAAGAAGTTGCAGTAATACATAGATTTCTCATGTGCCCTTCTCTGAGTTTCCTCTTAAGATATTTTACATAACAAAGGTATATTCTCGAGCAGAAATACGGATGGTACCTTAATACTAAGTCACATACTGTCATTCACACTTCAGCGGTTTTTACATGCACTTTGTGTTTATGTGAAGTTTTACAAAATGTTGTCGCTTATAGTTTGAGTACCCATGAGCACAGGCTACAAAATGAAAAAGGAATCTGGAATCTGTATTGTATTAGGGTTAAAAAGGAACCAAGATTTCACCACAAGCAGGTCCCTTGTGTTAATAATACCCTTTCTGCAACCCTATCCTGGCAATTCATGTGAGTATGAAGTTTTTAAAACAGACAAATTGAATTAGGGCAACAGCGTTAAATGCTTATGTGAAGTATTCCTTAAGTTTGCAGGACTCCTGTTTCTACAAATAGTACCTTCTATTAACTGTGTCTCTTCCATATGTGTAGTGGAATTTAATATGATTGTGAATCAAAGCTAGACACTCATAGTTCAACATCTCCCAGGTATGTCGGGGCCTGGAGGAACCTCTGGAAAGGAGGCCCCCAAAGCTAATACGTAACTACTTAAAATACATAAAATATCAAAATGGTAAATAAAATGTGCTCTGTGCAGAGGGATATCTAGTCTATGATCTCATTTTCCCCTCTCACCCATGGTCCTTTCAAACTGCCTTGAGTGTATTTATGTGCATCCTCCAGCCCTCAGCCTCAATTTTTTACAAACCCCTATAGGTAACTGCC